GGTATTAGTGATGTCTATTCTTTGTCCTGTAAACATTGATTTTATTCCAAAAGTGCGCATTCATAAATTAAGAAACATTGATTTAATTCCAAAATGTGCACGTGCATAGTAACAATATTAACGGTATCAATTTTGTTTGCACTAGATGCGCATTTCGACAATGAATATCTCTTCAGTGATGCTCGTGGCCAAATTATTTGAAAATCCAAAGCTTATTGGACGATCTTGTAAAGCAAAAAGGAAAAAAGTAAACTTGATAGCACTATGTAAAACAGAAATATGAATAAAAAGAGAAGAGAAAGGAGAGGCGAAAGATACCAAAGGGATTATCAAACTCATATGTTGAAAACGAACTGCGAATGTCATTGCAAAAAAAACTAAAAACAACCAAAAAGACAAACAACAGTTTACAAAACATAACGCAGACAACTTAAAACTGAGCAACACAAACCCTACCAAAAACCGGGGGTAATCTCAGATGCTCAGAAAGGGTAAGCAGATTCAACATGTGGCACCCATAGTGTTGCTCATGTAAGTAAAACCCGTTGATAAGTCTACTTCGGTGAAGTCACATTTTAGAAAAAAGGACAGGATTGTGGTAATGACAATTGGAATATATCCGTCGTCATCTGTGAAACAAATATTTTATAACGATCTTCCAACTCGTGATAGTGTCCGTAAAATTTTCGAAGAGAAGACTTCAACCTCACCTTTTTGATCCTTTGGTTTGAAAGCGTCCTTGTAAGAAGCAACACTCCATCAAGGAAATGCAAGGCCTGGAATATCGTATCAAATGGGAAATACATACTACATATGCAGATGCTGCACGAATGTGGTAACCATGCAAATGGAAAGTTCATTATAGTTCATTATAGTAAAAATAAAATTATTAATTTTGTCGTAAGGTTATGGTTCCAACAAACCCTTGTTGTCAATTCCTATATGTAAGTCAAGATATGAAGCAGACTTAACTGTATCTGTAGTGGTCTTATTTAAAGTTAATTGGATTAAAAGTTGATATGATGTCTCAATTGATGACCTTCTGCCATTTATACACAGCTCGTTATGTATTCATATCATCCATACGAAGCTTTAATCACTAACCCTTTCAAAACTTAATTCTCTGTATAACTTGTGTCTGAAAACAACTGTTTCAAATGCGGTGTGAATCAGATGTGGATACTTCATAATTCCAAAGACCTCTTCTTGTCGACTTGTTCCTTTATTAATATGACCCAGAATCTAAACGGGAGTTTTGTAGGAAGAATGAAAAGAAGCTCGAATTGTCCTTTAATTTCACATTCCGCTATATAGATGATGTTCTTTCACTAAATAATTCATGGTTTGTTGACTATGTTGAACGCATCTACCTAATCGGACTTGAAAAACTTGAAATAAAGGATAAGATCTGCTTACCCTTCCAGATCTTGATGGGATTCATGTTGTTCGGTCTTTAGTTTTTTATGTTCCGTTTTTTGTCTTTTATAAATTAGTTTGTTTTTCGTGTTTTGCCATGGCGATGTCAGTTTTGATCGGCTTATCTTCCACCTCTCTCCTATACGAACACTTTAGTCACCAAACAAATTGTTAAGGAAAAGGACATAGTGTTTATGGTGGTACGTGAGGTTAAAGGTAAATGCCAACTTTAGAAGATGCTGTATGAATCTTCATACGAATAAAGCCACATGTCAGCTAGAAAAGAAGAAAGATTAGTTCCTATATGAACGCTGATTATCTGTTGAAAAACACGTCTTGAAAAAGTAACCAATGCGTTGTAAAAAATCAAGCTTCTTGATGATGTCAGTTTCAGAGAACTTTTTACTTGAGTCAGTGTTGGGTTTTTTTTTTATATACTAGTATACATAGGATGATTTGTCCCTTTCTTAAACAACTGCGTTTGCCATAATTTTCTGTGAAACAAGTTGGACTTATTTTTCCAATCTGTGCTTAGGTTTAGAATGAGGAAAATCTGTGTAAAGGGTAGAGAATTCAAACATTTTTACACTATTGCATGAGGATAGATACTTAGATTGTATGTACTCTTAACAGAACAGCGACTCTTTTCACAAAAAAACTTAAGATTAAAATTGGTCGTAGATTATACTGAAATGTGTATGACATTTTTTGTAAAAAGACCCGCAGATCTCTGAATTAATTTAAAACTAACTGTGTTTACCATAGCAATGATACGTTTTTACTAAAATGATAGATTGTTTGATGTAAATTTCACTTTGATAACTATTTTGACGAAAATAATACTTTAAAAAGTTATATAACTTAGAAAAACAAATTACAATTAAAAATCCATTGTTCAGAGAACAATTGAAGGTCTTTTCACTTCAATTTGATAAGTAATAAGGAAATAATTTACTACTTCCGGTTTATAGGATGTCACTACCGGTCTCAAATGATAGGTTTTCGTATGCCCATTTAAAAAATATATGATTTCTAGGTACTTTTTCATAAAATAAGTGCAAACATGACTACTTCCGGTTCACTCAAGGTCACTTCCGGTTGATATTTTTCAAGGTCACATGTCACTTAACATTTTGTAAAAAACCTTACGGCTTTATCATGTACCAATCTGAAGTAATAACCAATTTACCTTAAAATAAAACATTTGAGGGACAATGACTCCTATAAGATGTCACTGGATTGTTTCAGACCCAATGTATCATATCTTCATCACAATATAGCAAACATTTTGCATTAGTTCTTCTATATATAACGTTATCAATATCAGAGAAAATGCAAAAACAAGCAAAAGACAAAATTGAGGACATGACCTTGACCTTTGACCTTGACCTCATTTTCTAAGTTAGGACCTAAGGACCTCGAATAAAAAGAGTCTAGGTTTATACGGCTTACGGTTTATGAGTTACAAAAACATAACGACAAATGTGTTTGGTAACGGTAGATAACTCCTATAAGATTTCACCGGATCGCTTCGATCTAAAGCCAAATATTTCTGAGGATGTAACAAACAAATATGAAAAAGAATTTTGTCGTTATCTTTTTTGGTTACGGAGGAGAAACAATAACAAGAAAAACAGTGTTTGGGGAGATAACTCTTACAACAAAATAGTCTTCGGCTTAACAAGATGATTTTTTAAAGCGCCATAACTGTTCGATATAATATCCAAAATATCTAAGCGTTGTTTGCGAAACAACTTTATAACGCAAGAAAAGGTTTGGCAGAAGAAGAAAAAAAAAAATAATTAAAAACCAATTCAGAGAACAATTTCCATAAAAAAGGAGTAATTAAAAAAAGGTGTAAGAAGATGTCACTTCTTGTTCATATGATTGGTAACTTCAAACTGATTCTAAAAATAGGTTTCAAGGAACTTTTTAGTGGGGAAAATGGCTACTTCCGGTTAACATAATGTCACTTCCGTTTGACCTTTTTAAAGGTCATGTGTATTCCAACCTAATGCAAAAGACCTAATGGTTTTATAATGAACCAGTATGAATTTTTAGCAAAGGTCAAAATCTAGAACATCCAATTGACCTTTGACCTTGAGCTCAATTTCAAGGTTATAGGTCAGTGATCTCATATCAAAAGACTCCAGGTCATTCACTTGTATGGTTGAGGAGTTTTACTGATTTCAAATATATAGGCGGAGTAAAGTCCTATAAAGGGCCACCGTATAACTTCGACTCAACGCGTTGAAGTTGCTCCATGTCGTAAACAATTATTTGGCAAAAACATCTTATCTTTAACTGTTACGGTTTCTTTGGAATAAAGATACAAGCAAAATTCAAAATTAAGAACATGACCTTGACCTTTGACCTTGACCTCAATTTCCTCCAAATGGACCAAGGACTTTATATCAAAGACTTTAGGTCTCTATGATTTATGGTGTATGAATTAATTCAACAAATCACCAATGTTTAATGTGAAAAGGGAAACAACTCCAATAAAATGTCATTGGATCACTTCGGTGTGACTTAACCAAAGCATCCTTAAGAGTAGACGAACAATTTGGAAAAAAGTTTGTCGATATCTTTGACGGTTTCAGAGAAATAAAGATAACAAGAAAAAGGGGACATGGGGAGATAACTCCTATAAGAATAAGTGTTCTGTTACGCAGGGTGAATGGGGAAATCCTTATCACTGTACGATATCATAGGCCAAAAATCCTTTCAATATGTCTTGAAACAAAAAAAAAACATCTCAGACGGAAGAAGAAATAAAAATAATCAGAACAAAAGCAAAAGGTCTTTCCACGAAAAGATATTTACAGGTCGGTGCATTACATTTGCGCGCATTACCATTACAGTTGCGCGAAAAATTCATTACGTTTGCGCGCAGCTTTTGATTACATTTGTGCGCTTTCTTTTACAGGTACACTCAGGTAAACTCAGGTAAATACAGGTAGAATATACTTATTTATTTAGTTAAATATTATTTTCGAGTAGGATAAATCCGTTTCATTGTACACAAGCACTTAGTCCTGGAAATATATACAGATAAAAATGTAAAAAATAGTAAATCAAAAGATTAAATATACTGCTTTAACATGTCTTAACGTACCCAAAAATATATTCATCGATGTGCTGAATGAAATTACAGTGAGGATGAAATAACTCCATGTGTGTTCCTTGACGCAACTTTACAAACCGACTTAAATTATTTATTAAAGCCATCACTATTCGGTAAAATTATAAAAACAGATTACTATATTTACTCTGAAATATTTGCAATTCAGTTACATGTATGTCTTAACCTATTGTGGGGTTTCTCATGATCAACGTATATTTTGTTAGAATTCAATATGAAAAATATATCATCTAAATTTACAAATATGTTCAATATTCATAATAACCATAGTCATATTATTATGAATAATCTTTATTTAGTGTTACCTGTAAAGTGAATGCGCGCAAATGTAATCAAAAGCTGTGCGCAAACGTAATCCCCAAATGCGCCCTTACAGGTATATGGCAGACATTTTGAACCAATTTATTATAAGTTACTTGTTACAGATATGCACAAGTACTTACGTTATACCAGTTTCTGATAAGGCAATTCGGTCCACCCCTTCTACTTTTAATGGCAAACAGGTTAAAGTAAAAATATGATGTCCTGTTATCAATTGCGGTGAAATTCTTGTTGAAGGGGTGTTTGTAGTTGTAGTTTTGTTTGTTGTAGTTGTAGGCGTAGATATAGTACCGTTCGTAGTTATAGTGTTGTTTGTTGTAGTTGTAGGCGTAGATATAGTGCCGTTCGTTGTTATAGTGTTGTTTGTTGTAGTTGTAGGCGTAGATATAGTGCCGTTCGTAGTTATAGTGTTGTTTGTTGTAGTTGTAGGCGTAGATATAGTGCCGTTCGTAGTTATAGTGTTGTTTGTTGTAGTTGTAGGCGTAGATATAGTGCCGTTCGTAGTTATAGTGTTGTTTGTTGTAGTTGTAGGCGTAGAGGTAGTGCTGTTTGTAGTTGTAGCGCTGCTTGTTGTTGTTGTTGTAGTTGTAGATGTAGGTACTGTTTCACCTTCATTTTTGTCATATACTGCAACCTGCATCCACCTTTTGTCATTAAAGTTCATCGACTGTAAAACATAATTAAATCATACTGTTTTTACTGTACAGTTCTATAACTTATTCTTTTATTTTTTTCAATACTGTCTTTCGTTTTCTTTGTAGTGTTTTGTTGACTTGTTGGTCTTTTCGTTGTCTTTCGGGGTTTTTGTTTGCCACTGCGTTGTCAGTTTCTCTTCAACTTATGAGTTTTAAATCTCCTCTTGGTATCTTCCTTATTTTTCTAATTATCCATCATCTTTACAAAAGTAAAAACTGAAAAAATGATTAGGAAATCTTAATTAGATATATGAAGATGTGGTATGAGTGCCAATGAGACAACTCTCCATCCAAGTTACAATTTATAAAAGTAAACCATTATAGGTCAAGGTACGGCCTTCAACACGGAGCATTGGCTCACACCGAACAGCAAGCTATAAAGGGCCCCAAAAAATTACTAGTGTAAAACCATTCAAACGGAAAAACTTAAGCATTTACAGATTTGAAATGTCATATATTAGCAATTACATTTCAGCCTTGTATTTAAACATCACTCTTTTGTGCATTCATTCGGTCGATCATACAACTTGATATTACTTACCTGTTCATGCTGTTATAACAAACTGACATAGACGGAGCATTATTATTCATTATTCATCATTGATGATTCTTATATTTGTATCTTACGTCTTGTCCTCATTTCAAGCACATTTAACCATCCGCTCATTGCATTATTTCGCCAAAAAATATTTTGTTTAAGTTATTGTATTACCGAACTAAGTTCAAGTGAGACGACACATTGTGGTTCAACAATTTTATTCCTTTTTCTCTGTATTAAAACTTAGTAACAAAATTAATGAAGCCAGAGGGATTTTATTTGCTTAAGTAGAGTAACCAGAGCATATAGTTCACCTAGAATATATCCCTTAATTATCAACCCACAAGAGTCTCCTTCAGTTAACAAAGTATTGAACAACAAAACTAACTAATTGAATAATTATCTTCTATCTTTAGACTAGTTTCGATTTTGTACAATCTGACATCGACCGATACATTTTTGAGCCTCTTATATGAATAAATCCTGATATCATTAATTAATTCTATAAAGTGCTTTTTGTTCAAACTATGTTGTTGTATGTCCAGAAGAGAAGATATGCTTATTTTTTTAAAAAAATATTTGCCCCAAGACGTTAATCAAAAATCAAACAAGCACATATCGTCTGTAGGACATCCGTAATTTGGGTTTAGGACCCTTATTTTTTCAGTTCCTTTTCTTTTTCTCTTATAAGAATTTATTCCCAAAAATTTAGGATATTCTTAAATATAATAAAGGGTATTATTTATTCTTATGAAAAATTATATGTAGGCTGTTATATAACACATATATATAGCAATAAAAAAATTAACAAAACATCTGTCATTATGACGACAGAAGGCGGAACATTTTGTAACCACATTGACGCTTCAAACCTGGTCTGCCACCTTACCCGAGGCTTATCCCCAAATACGAACTTTCAACCATAGATTATCAATAGATAAGTATCGCGGTTCAGTCTAAAATGTATTTAAATTTCAATAATCAGCAGCATATAGTCAGATATATAGAACATGACAACTGCCAGGGCCTTTTCTTAAGTAACCCATTAAAAATTTTGTAGAGTGTAATTTCCAGACAATTCTTTATGATGTTGTTGAGACTGCCTTTGTCAAAAACTAACAATAAATTTATGCGCTTCGTGTAGTGCTTTAACAAAATAAGATTCATTATTTTTCACGTGTTTATTCTGATGTTTTGCATTTCATATTGATTCCTTAATCGAGAAGCGTTTCACTTTAGTTGATTTACATCAAGGAACATCATCGCTTCATAACTGTGTTGTGCTTGACGATGGAATGTTAAGTTTCAGTGAAAATTATTTCTATCGCCGGATAATTCTGATACATAGGTCTGAGAACCAAAGGTGGGAGTGATACTGAGTTTCTTTGGAAAAAGAAAACAATTAAATAGCTTCTACATCTGTTGGTAGTGTTACGATTTTTTTAAAAGAGCAGAGTAACATTGATTGACTAGAGTTACAGTCATTTACGCGTGATCTACGTAGAAAAAATATACTATCTAAATATCTTTTTTCACGAGATTTGAAATTACTAAAGTGATTACTACATTATCCCTCGTCAAATTGTTTCTTCATTTAACTAGGAATTGATTGAGGTTCGGTAGCCTCTGCTGGTGATACTGAAATAGGGAAGTTGAAAACGCTTCTCCCGTGCTTTTTGTATCATTGGTACATGTATTTCCGAAGACGTTTAAGTAGTCGGGCGTCCTTTATTGAATAATTGTACAGTTCCATCGTGCATTGTGGTTTATATCCTCCGCTGATTAGTGAGAAGGTACGCATATGTATATGTCCGACTTAAGATTTAATTTTTCAGAAATCGTTGTTCCGAAAAGATATTGTTCTTAAAATTAGGTGTGCCTGGCATTATTTATAGTGTCGGGAAACGAAAAAAATGCTGGACTTGGCATCATTTATAATAAAGCTTCTTGGGCCATTGAGGAGTCCCATTACTCTTTTGTTGTAGAAACACGTCTGCGAAATGGGCAGGGTCGCTTTGTCTCGTTTCTTCTTCAGCTTTTTGTATACTTCATTTGTTTGACCACAGATGCTTAAACAAAACTATTGTGACCCAGAAAGAGGACATTAAATGAATAGCCAAAATAATATCGGAAAAGTTATTTTTCCCTAAATTGCAGCGATTGTATGCGTGATTTTACTTCTTTCAGTTTCTCTTACTTGACCAAGTACCAGAATTTCCTATCACACAATTTAAGTAACCTGAAGAAAAATCATATACTCCGGAGTCAAAAGTCGGTAATATGAAAATAGTCTATTGGTAAGAACTGTCATTTAATAGCAAAAGCTTCCATAAGCAGTCGTCTGGCAATTTTGATCAAAATGGACAGTAGGTAGATTTTGACAAGTAGTACGACCATGTTTGTCTGATTACCCAATAAATCATACAAAATACGTAATGATGAGATCATACTAGATTATCTATGCTTTACACAAAACTGTTTCGTTTTTCTAATGTGGCTCAAATTATTTTTTTCTTCATTTCCAACACATACAAATTCAGTCATCGCTTTTATTTACACATTCAATTATTAAGAGGGGGCCTGGGTGGCCGGATGGTCTAAGTAGTGAACTACCTGATCACTAGCCTGTCAAAACCAATGTTGTGAGTTCGAATCCCGCACGTGGCAGGTGCGCTCGACTCCAAACTATTTGACTTAGATTGTCAGCTTTCCTACCGAAGGTCGGTCGTTTTTTCCAGGCACTCCGGCTTCCTCCACCAATAAAAACTTACCGCCACGAAATAGCACAATATTGATAAAAGTGGCGTTAAAAATCAAACATTCAATCAATCAATCAATCAATCAATTATTAAGAGATTTTCTAAGGTGGAACGGTCGTTTCTGCTGATACTGTTTGTATGTCTTACATAACTTTGTAAATATTGAGGCTGACAAATTGTTTGAATGGAAAGTACACTATACTAGTATCCCTTTTAACATCGCTAGGTCGGTATTTTCAACCTGTTCCTGAACAAACATCATGGTAGATTGACATGGTTATATGGATGATTATAATCCTAAAGTGCAAACATTCTGATTCTTGATATAAGTTTCTGTTTGAGCGCTTTGAATATTCTTTTACACACCTGATGTGCTGAGGACATTAAAAGCTTTAAAAGATATTTAATCAATACTTACCGACAAACACTCTTTAGTTATTTCGAAATTTCCATTGTGACCCAAGATGTTTTTAATAGTGCAGTTGTCAGTTTTATTTGCAGCAGGAAAATACTCAATTGCTCCATTAACTCCTTTAAATGTGACAGATAGGTCTTCGTTGCAGGCTGTAATGAAATATAATTGCCAAATAAATAACACAGACTGACTTATTGTGGAGTATATGTATCAGAATAGGATACTTTTCAAGGGATTGTGTTTTCAGCAGTGACATCCTCTAGAAAGCACTGGCAGTATCAAATAAGCTGTTAAGACGGGTTATTCTCAACATAAAGTAGTATGATTAATATCGTCATTGTTTTTATAGTCGCCGTCATGAAATTGTCGGATGACCTAAAACGTATTGTCCTTGTACGAAGTGTCCTTTTAACCCTTATCGTTTGTGACAAATTGTCGTCGTTGGTAACTAAGTAATACGATATTTGTTGCATGCAAAACAGGATATGCTTAGGCTTTCCAAACACTTCATGCTATTTGTGGTTTTATTGGTATTCCATATTGCTTAAAGTTTTAGATGCAGTTCGTTGTTTTTTCGTTGTTTCTCGTTCCTTTGAGTCATGGTATTGAATTCTGTATTCCGATACTTAATCCCGCCTATAGGCAAAGGTTGAATCAGTATCCTTGACTTAGATGTTAGTTATTTTAAATTTAATTAACATTTGTTTTTTGTAGTTATCCTGTTTCCTCGTGTCGAAGTTTTAAAAGCAGTTGCTTTAAATAATTGTCTTCACATAAAGTCCGTCCTCGTCGTCACTCGTCTGTCGTGCGTCCGGCCGTCGTCGTAAACTTAAAAAAAAAACTTTGTATCTGAACTACTGGGCCAAATGCTACCACACTCTACCTGAATTTGCATTAGGGAATCTTGTTTAAAATTATATGCGGGTATCTGACATCAACAAACATGGTCTCTGTTGCTAAAAATAGAACATAAGGGACAAAATACAGATTTTGGCTTATATCTCTGATACTAAAGCAGTAAGATCATAACGGACATGGTTAAAAAGATCAGCATTTCAAATAGATACACTCTTATTCTAGGTGCATTGTAGATGTGCCGATCACTTCTTTTATCACCATGTGTTAAAAATCATCGAAATTTAAAATCATTTGACAACTTCATATGAATAAAGCTTCAAGGAAATCATCCATTCAGAATCTTCTTTAGGGACCACTAATGTCCATTAAAGCCTTAAATCAATGGTGATCATGATTTTAAAA